GCCTTGGGTCACTGGGTAGTTAATGATAACCCCATGTTTTCCTTCAATATGTCCATCTCAGCCTTTACTCGAACATGCTCAGCGTTTTGTTCACTGCTTAGGACCGCACAACCGTGCGAATATTGAAACTCTTGGAAGTTTATTACTCGTTTGACCCGAAGTCAAAATGCTGGGCCAGCTAAAAAGTTCAGATTCAGATCATTGCACAAGAGCAGATTTATTGATCAATTAACTCTACAGCATTTGAGCGGTATTATATCAGTTTAGAGCATTGATAAGATTTTATTGAATAGTTCTAGTAGTTATAAGTGGATCTTGCTTTTCCTCTTGATCTCGTTAGCGACTCGAGGCCACCTAACAAAAATAGGGAATAGCGCCTCAAACGACGACTCCACTTTTACCCCGTTTCACACCGTTTTCTGCGAGACCCACGCTGCTTGTTAGCTGCCCCGAGGTCGGCAGTCGGTATTCACAAGTTCCGATCCGCCGCTGTAGGCTGTGAGGCGCCTGCGTATGTTGTTGAGGGTCACATTTGACACCCAACTGCGTCGCCAAGTAGATGTGAGACCGTTCTACCCTCCTTTGTTAGATATGCTCAAGTAATGACCGATGGCGAATCCTGCATGTGATTGGTTTTATCAGAGCTTCAGGACGTTCACGTCTAATCTCCGAGTCCTAACGCAAGGGTATGGCCGGCCCTCAATTAATTCAGAGGCGCTTATGATTCAATCGCTTTAGCGTTTAGCTGGCCTTGATGAATTTAAGTCATCACACCAACAGTCTCCCCTGAAACCTCTGCCCAGGCCCCTCGATCGGTCGGGCAGGCTACCAAAAACGGCCAACAACCTATTCCAATTCAGCCTCGCAATCTATGTTCCAACGAGGGACTCCATGAATCTGAAACTCGTCCCTTTCTTTCATGTCGGTACAGTACACCTTCTTTAGACTAACGAGAACACGATCCATTGCACATGGCACGGTTCTTTAGCCGCTCTGTGGCAGGTCGGTCGGCTGCTCAAGCCGGCGTCTATTACGAAGGATCTTTATTCCAGGGCTGTGAAGTTCGCCGGGAGATCTGTGAGACGCTCAGAGAGACGATAAGCGCAGCTGTCTGAGAAGGACTTAGATCAAGTTCACAATTCCTCGAGGTCAAGTAGGAGGAGCACTTTGGTTTGCCTTCTTGGTAGGGTCTATGACACGATAGAAATACACCCGTGAGCAGATAAATGTTGTCACTATTAGACAGCGTAATTGTAATTCTGGAGAGCCAAGTCACCCTGAGGCTGACTTGGGCTTGTAACTGACGAAGCACAGGACTCATCGTTAGTAGCGTTGATAAAAGAGAGCTGGTATGGATAATAACCACTACTCATCCTTTACCTAAACCCCTGTAAGCCTGTAACTTCTGAGAGTAGTAAAGGTAGTGGCACAGAAACTATTTTGAGGCTTGAGTCTAGGTCGTACGCGTCGTTCGAATGGGCCAACAGACTACGGCCTTAACTCCCTCAAAGCAATCTAAAGACATCCTTGTCGAGACGACACCCTGGATAATCGGTCATTGTAATAGTTCAAATCTATCTCGTCGAGTCGTTGGTGCAACTGAGACGCAAGGTGGCCAGACCCAACCCATATCAATAACCAGCGACTCGCGACTCACAAGCATGCTATATTTAGTTGCGCACAGCATACAGAGCTGACGACAATTTCCAGTATTTAAGATGGATGAGAGCCATCTTTCAAGCCGAATGAACCAGTGACACAAAGAACCTTTTGCAATCGAATATCACTTGCATTCGCTTACTATTACTACGAGTTTTTTTCAAAGCATATCCTACATATTATATACTTCGAGACCGGTTACGCAAGCCATTGTCAACGTAATCTACAATCTTATTTCCCAGTCTTCGCATCTTAGTAAATTCTTGACTGACATTATTATCGAGATTTTCTTATTTCGTTGAGCGCATTATGCCACGCAACAATTGTGCTCATTGCGGCAAATCGCTCTACGAAGACAGTTGGGTGAGGTCAACAAGTACGAAGACAAGGCCATGTCCTAGCTGTACAGAACCCTGTTCTTGTGGTGGCGCTGATAGGATCTGCGGCTTTTGCAATGGTCTGGGTTATCTGGTCTACGGTGATGAGGGCTGTGGTACGTGTGCAGGGTATACTACAGTGACCACTCAAGTCACTGGCCCTTGGGTTGTTTGCCACTACAAGCTCACGTCTCGATAAGAGGCTGTTCAGTGTATTTTTTAGGACTCCGCGAGTGGGAAATACTATAAGCTGGCACGTGGTAGATTGCTAGAATCGGAGTGACTTGAAGGAAATTTATAGCGAGCAGGGCTCTCTAGTTTACAAGTAAAATGACCCATTCTTCCCTAACACATGTTTGCCCAAGATGAATGACCTTGAGTTGCTACTCCCTTAGACGAGAGTACAGAGAACTGTGCCCCAATATTCGCAAATAGGGCTTGGAATTTAGACGAAAATTCAAATACATCGCCCGGTAGACATGGAGTGTCCTCTTTCAAATGTAAACCCAGGACGATGCTTTTGAGATTGGGGAGGTGGGATAAACAATTTTCGTAAAGCTTTGAAAAGGTTAAGTCATAAAAGTCGATCAGATTCATGGGGCCAGGTAGAGGAGGACCAAACGTGTCAACACTCGATATACCCCAATAATCAATAAGACAAAGGGAATATAGAGATCTTGGGAGAACATCGACCAGTTCAGGAGCAGAAAGACAGTCCTGTCTGCCAAAAAGCCAAATAGATTCCGTTGTCAAAGACCTCAGTGAGGACATTTGGCGTAAAGTTGGTAACAGGGGTGTCACTTCTGCGTCGCGCCAAGATGTTCCAGGAACATTCGTTAGAGAAAGAGTCTCCAGTGTTTCCGAAGCTCTAAGAAGATTTTCAGAGACTTTTGTTGGATCGGGATCGTTCATCGAGTCAGCAGTGGCATCGAACTCTAATTCGAGAGAAACGAGCTTCGGGAATACGGTCAATATAACTTCGATGTCGTTCATCTTCGATGTACGAAAAAGCAGCAGTTCCTTAACGCTTTCAGAGAGGACTTCAACCTGCCAGACTTGCTGAGCAAGACCTTTAATTCGTCCCAACAGTAGAGAGCCCTTTAGCTCAACACGACGGATAGAAGGCGAGTTCCGGAGGAGTACCGTCAGGGTTTTCATTGTGACCCAACATTCAGTTCTCTTGTTGTCGTGCGGTTCCAAAATTATGGTCTCAAGCTCTTGGAGATATCGACGACTACTTCCTGTTGGCGGCATCAGAGCCCACAAGGCTTGTTGCTCTGGGCAAGGCGGCAGTCTGGGCGGATCAATTGGCTTATGACCTTGGAGCAGAAACAATGACTTGACCTCGGGGATCATGGCCAAAACAGCACCGAGAACCCGCCAATCCTCCAAGCTTTCGGCGCTGTCGATACCCACAAGTCGAGCGACATCAGCTTCCTCTAGAGTCAAAGGCCAGTCAATATATGCCCAGCAGTCTGGAACCAAAGAAGACATCACAGCATCCCAGCGCAGTGTCGACTCGATGTTGCTGTCATCTGTTGACAAGACACCGATCCAGGCGAAAGATTGAACCTTCGGGCGAAGATCACGGTCACTGGCAATTGTACGGAAGAAACAGAGTAGTTCCCGCTGATCTCTCAGTACGACAGTATTATATAGATGTTTAGTGGCGTAGGGATGGTGAAATTTAGAGGCACGACAAAGACTCGCAAAGGTCGACCGAGAATCGACATAGATCTGTCGGATTAGAGGCTTAGCAGCGTGGGACTCATACGTTGTGACTGATCCAACAGGTCGGAGTCGCTCAAGGACCATTGCGTATAGCTCCGGCGGAAGGTTCGAGAGGCGATCATGGCGACTGACTTGGAGGTCAGCTGACTGCTGTGCGCCATCCCTTTCGTGGATATAAGGACACATGATCACTGCTAGTGATGTCAGCTCGTTTGACTGGATAGACATGGAAGAACAGTTGGGACGATGAAGGTGTTCGAGATCCGAGCCATCAGATATTCCTGAATGAGGGGTTTGGGACGGGCCGAGGTTTCGCCGTGTATTTATATCCAATAGCGTTACAGATTTGAAGCAGCGAACAGCATAACGGCTGCTGGGTGTGAGACAGCGAGACGGCGAAACTGACCCGTCCAGATGCGAAACACCCACGTTATGCCTCTTCAAATAAGGTACCTGGTATGTGCACAAACTGCTTTCGAGTCATCTTTGGCTTGATAAAAAAAGTATTTAAGGGATTTCTTATTTTGACCTTTAACCGCTGAGAGTATCTGGAACCAATAGATATCCTATCTGGCCAATGCCTATGATATTACCAAGTTGGGCCTTTCGCGTCGGAGGGCTTGTTTGGTAGCTTAAAAATAAATAAAAAAAGGACAGAGACTAAAAAACGTACAACACCAGGGATTCGCTGGTCGTCACCGACCCAACTACTAGTCCGGCGATTGGCAGCTTAAGTACACGAGAGCGGACGGGATCGTCTGTATTCTACCATCTATGGTCGTACGTGGAAGAATGTGTTGTGGTTTTGGTTTATATCGTCAAGTTGAACAGCCCTGTGGTGGAAGGGTTTTTGTGTGGTTGAGTTTTATAAGTCACCGCAGGCTGTGGTTGGTTCTTTGTACGGACTGATCGACAAACAAATACGAGGTGCTCATTGCTGGTGAAAGTAAGGCAAGACAACCTCTGTCTGTTAACGGATGAAGTACACGAATAAGCACGGTGTCATTGCCTTGGCATACGCCCATCAGCCCCCCCAAGCGGCGTGGTTTCACGAATCCCATGCTTCGCCTCAATCGGACATTTAGGCAACTGTTCATTCAGCTCATATGTCCTCATGTGGCAGCGTCCTGTCTGCACTCGCTCCTGCATTGACGAAAGTCGTTGATCAATTGGACAAGTAATCGAGTAAGGTGAAGAGTCAATTGCAAGTTTCCAAACTCCAATACTCGCATCATGTCTCAACACTCTCAGGTGACCCCGCCCGGCGCGGCGCCGTTCGCTCAAGTGCAGGCTGTTGATGGCTCATTCGGCACCACCCGGACCTTCTTTGAGCACTCCAGCGGAAAACGTATCAACACCGATGCCGTCATAACTGCTGCTCTGAGGAAACAGTATCCCGAGTTTGAAATCGTTGTCGTCCCGGGCGAGGTTGCCGACGTGCTGGCTTATGCATTCTCCGGCCACGCTTCCGCCACCCCAATTAAGGAAGACGGTGCCTCGTTGCCATCGTCACTTGCATGGACGATGTACATCCCGCCCTCTCGGCGCCTCTCTGGACGTGGTCGTATCGCTGAACAGCTGATCTTCGGCATGTACATGTACGTCTGGAAGGATACGGAGTTTCTCGTCTACCTCGTCGATGGTCGTGATGGAGACGTATTCTCACCGCCCATGACGAACACATACATCCTTACAAGGGACAGACAAAAGGCCGAGGATCTCATCTTGGAAGCGGGTGAGTGGAGCAATGAGCTCCATGGAGAGATTTGGGTCTATGATGGGGGCTGGTGGTCAAAGAACGCAGAGCTGTACCGGAGCATTATGAGCTCATCGTGGGATTCAGTGATCCTGGATCCGAAAATGAAAAAGTCCATCATCGATGATCATCTCTCATTCTTCAACTCGAAGGACACTTATTTGAAATTGAAGGTTCCATGGAAGCGAGGCATCATTTATCACGGTCCGCCAGGAAACGGCAAGACAATCTCCATCAAAGCAATGGCTCATATGCTATACGACCTCGACCCCGAGGTGCCGATGTTATATGTCCGGACACTAGCATCTGTAAGTATCGCTTGGACTGCCGACGATCACTGTCGTGTTGACTTTCTTTGCAGTATGCAGGCCCAGAGTACTCGGTCCGAATGATCTTCGAAAAGGCCAGGCAGATGGCTCCCTGCTACCTGGTTTTAGAAGATCTCGATACCATTGTCAATGACGAAGTTAGGAGTTATTTCCTGAATGAAGTCGATGGCCTCAAGTCAAATGACGGCATATTCATGATTGGGAGCACTAATCATCTCGAGTGGCTCGACCCAGGCATTTCCGTAAGCTTGGCTCACCTTGATTGTGCTCACGTATGACTGACCTGCTTGTGATAGAAACGCCCATCTCGTTTCGATAGGAAATACTTCTTCGACAACCCCAACACAGACGAGCGCGTTGCTTACTGCCACTTCTGGCAGAATAAATTGGAAGACAACAAGGATATTGATTTTCCAGAGAAGCTCTGCACAGCCATTGCGAAAATCACACATGACTTTAGCTTCGCATACATACAAGAGGCTTTTGTGGCAACGTTGTTGGCCATTGCTCGGGCGTCTCATACTGAAAAAGCTACTATGCCGAAAATAGCCATGATGAGTCTGGCAGATGATTGGGTTTCGATCGAGGACGATCCACTTGATAAGTATCTCTTATGGGTGGAGATGAAGAAGCAAGTTGCGATCCTCCGGGAGGGCCTGGATGACAAGAACAAATAGATTGCAATGCAATGAAGATCTCCGAGAAGCCCCATGATCTGCGAATCTCGTTCAGTCACTCTGTAGTTCTATAAAATCTCAAATAATTTAGGCGGTATCTGCTTGTCCTATCATTGTTATGGCCAGGTGAGACGGACTGTCGCTGGTGACGCTGCATTTACCAATCCAATAACAAACATGAACGAGAGTATTGAACTCTGATCTTGGGCTTAGAATACTCTAGAAATCACACTGATCTCATTACGCCCAGTTAAGTTTCATGGGTGTCCGTTGCAGTAACAGCTAAGTAAGACACCTCAGTCAGGACTTTAAGAATCTCCCATGATGCCCAAGTTCCTGGGTTGTTGATGCTTTGATCTTCAGCTGTGGTGAGCCGGGTGCGGAATTGCAGTACAGTCAAGAAGACTCAATTCTGGTCACCCTGGCCGAACTAAGTAGTTACCCAAATCACACACAACTAATGGAGGTGTTCTTCTATGGTCCTCCTTCCGGCTCAATTTACTACGTGACTAATCAACTATCTACTAACTTATAAAACCAACTGGCTAAATGAGCAATAACATATGCGATGGGGTTAAAAACCCTCGGCGCTCGATTTCGGAACGGGTAATTGTACTGTAATTATTTGAGAAGCTATGCTTTCTATATCCTAAAATTCTCAAACTCAAAATCCCCTGTATTACTATGTTTCATAACTTTCCGTGTCCTTCAGGCTGTACCCTGAGCTCACGTTAGCTTGCTCCTACTCATCAGCGCGCTGGGGATCTTAAAGGGAAAAAAAGGAAACCGCCAAAGTCCAGGCTGATGTATTATGTTTACCTGTTTCTATACATTCCTTGGATTCTAATGTATCGTGTCACATAGCTTATAAATTGCGATCAATGCGAAAATTACTCAGTTACCTCTTATTTTGAACGTTCCATCTAGTATGATGGCCCGGCTCCTGTTCTTGAAGAGCGCGGTCGAGTCTGACTCGAAACTCATCGGCGGCGGCCATTTAGGAGACAGAACACTCTGATATGCTTTCGAATTATGACTCTATAAAAACTGTTTCTGCGTTGATTTCTGCTCTACAATATGCGCAGTGGGTGTCGCATGCTGCTGAGTGAGGACCAAAATGGCACTGTCCGCAGTACCAAACCCTAATGCGCAAAACCGCTGGCCTCGGAGCTGTCGGCCTGGGTGGACTGGTGCGAGTTTTCTCCGATGCCCAATGTCCTGCTGTACTCATTGTCTTATGTGGATTAGCCACTTGCAATCCTCGTATGCCTTTCCTACTTCACACTTATCTACTTACCATTTATTTCCAAGGCGACTCAATCTCAGGATCTCTGAGCGGAAGGTACATTTCTTTAAAGAATATTGTATAGTCACAGCAAGTATCGATCAGGAAATACAGAGATCCAGTTTAGAGGCGGCCTTGTCAGCACGATGGTCAAGATCTCTGGGTAAAGAGACTTTAATACAGTGGGAGATCGAACGGGGCTGTGTAAACTTGATATGCATTAGTGGTTTTAGACTGATTGGTTTTCGTTCTCTCTTGTCAAAATGAGGCTGTCGGCCCAATCACCTGAGGACCTCCCATGACGGCTGCAGGCTATTACCTGGACCATGTCTCAGCCATTGCGAAGGTGCGCCTTAGCCATTTCGAAGCATCGCGATATGGAAAATATGCCACCACTTTCTACTAATATTGAGCTTGGGAGCTTCGCTACCGAGCCGCCGATTACTCAAAAAGACTTGGACCACAAGCCCTGGTGAGAATATTGATATTACCATGCCATACCTCAACGAGCTCACCATAAACAGGAAATATATCGGTTATAGAGGTTTCGCAGCCTGTCTTGCGTCTGATGACGATTTCTTTGTCCTCCGCCGATTCGACTACCTTCACTCTCGCATTCTGATAACGCTCCAAGATCATGTTGTACAACTCGAGGAAGATTTGGAAAATTTGGATAACAGGTTGAGTTTGAAAACCTCGCCTGATATCGATAATGGGTCAATACGAAATGATCAAGCTGAAAGAAGAGATCTGCTTGAGAAAATACATGATAGTTTGGACAGATACGGTAGCCTTGGTTTCTACTGCCATTAGGAGATACCTCAGTCCGCTAACTTGTTAATATAGATACCATGCTATGTCGCTATATACAGCTAAAGACGAGGTCGAGGCCTTCTCGAATCAACCTGCGAAATGTAAAGACCTGGTTGAGTAATAGGAACGAGCCCATAGCCTCTCAAGAAGTAGGGTTTATTCATGCGCCCGATCTTATAACTGTGGCTAGACTTGAGAAGTCCATGCTCCGGAAATTATTCGAACAGTTGATCCTAGCCCCGACGTCAGGCATTTTCGGTATTCATTCAAATAAAACGTCTACGGCTAGTGCTCATCCAGTCACAACAACAATTATAGGGGAAGACGAGCATGTAGACACAGTTGCGGCAATAGCTCTCTTCGTCGTCGCTTTAGCAATGCTGATAGCACCTCTATGGATTTTGGCTGTATTGGAAGACACATTCCGAAAGCTGGCTGTCATTACGGGTTTCACATTAGTGCTGTTGCTTGTGCTGGCCTGGGGCACATTGGCCCGGCCGTTTGAAATTTTGGCGGCGGCAGCTGGGTTGGTATTCTTGTTTTTACCTCTCTGCGATTGGACCCCCGCTCACTACTGATATAGATACTGTGCTGTTTTGGTCGTCTTTCTTCAGCTCGGAAGCCTCACGTCTTCTTGAACTGACTGACAAGTTCGTGTGAAGGGCTCGAATGAGTGTCTCCATAGATAAGTGTGTAGTGACGGTAGTTTATTCTATCATAGCAGGAGGAAGGATGTAGAGGCCTCAGCATAGCGCTTTGCTTCACGCACATGTATTTCCAAGGCATAAGGCAGCAGAGCCACCCTGGGTAAGATGCTCAGAAGCCTTATCATGGATGACGTTATGAGGAATCCCTAGCTTACCATATTTGTTTAATTCAGTCAAGGCAGCCCTATCCGCAAATCTAAGTCGAATAGTACGGCTCTCTATAAAGCAGTAGGCCTATTTACTTCTAAGAGAGATACGTTGATATCGACGCTATATTTGATGAAGAAATAAACCAAATCTAGTTTGCGTCTCTACTCTTCTAATGATATAACATACTGTGGACAAAGATCCCATCAACTCAGCTTTGCTTACATCTAGTCAGATCCTGATGAGTTTATAGCAGGGTCGTTCATATTTGACGATAGATTCTATTCCTCCTCGTAATAGATATGATAATCGTCTTGGAATAATTGAGGTATGTGAAGCATATTCGATTATCTCAACACCTCAACTTGTCGCCGGGAAGAAGGAAATGAACTGCTCCAGGTTCTCTCAACGCTGCACTACTCGAAGGCTTGTGCCGGGTCCGGATCCGAATGGGTGCATCTAGTGCGCCAAGCTTAGACAGCGGCCGCCGGGTCAAACCCCGATGTACCGGTGGGCCGCTGCTTGACGGGCAGTGCCATAAGCCGCAATTGAGCCATAAGCTTATGCCGATAGTTTTCCGCCAATTGCTCACATAGATCGATGAGAGAATACTCGGTGGGAGTGATACTGTCCTCGTGCAACCGTGGTAGTTTCTCAGAAGAAAATGAAGATGTCTTGTTTATGGGAAGATTAGAATCTTCAAGGTCCAGCAACGAGTTCATCCATTATTCAGCCGATATCTATATCTCAAACAAGACACGATGTTGCAGTTATCTGATTCGGGTGACTCGGCTGATGCGAGGTTTGGCCTCGGTCGTGGTCATCCGGTAACCTTGGCATCAGCCGCCAGTGTGGCGGAACCCCAAGAAGCGGCCGTTCTTGAGGCTAAGCATCGAGGCCATTGCCGCTAATATCAGTTGCATGGCTTAGTATCGTGAGAAAATGGCGAGTGTTGCCATAGGCTGGCTAGAAAAGTGTGCAGGATTCGAAGATATATAATTCGTGAGCCTTGCCCCAATTGACAGCATTCAGTCAACAGCAACGCAACACTATTCCAAAACGAAATTACATTGTCTTCCTTTTTCTTTCTTAGTTTTCCTTTTTCCTTATTTCCTATTGTCTCCTTGGGATTCCTCTGATTATAAATTCTACCAGCAAGAATAAAGATGCTTCTCACTACCTTCACTCTCCTCACTCTCAGCAGCCTTACCATGAAGGCCATGGCAGGGCCGGTTCAAGTGCGTGAGCACCACACATCGACACACGGAGACCTCACACCATCGCCAACTCCATCACATACCTGGGAATCCTACGGAAGTGCCCACACACCGTATTCTTACCAGCCAATCAATACGGAAGTACCTCCTGCTCCGCCGTGCGTTATCACCAACGAGGAGGTCGCAGGGAAAGAGTTGTCTGGATGCTTGATCATCAACTCCAAGGTCCTGACATCTCGAGTCTCCAATTCTATCCTGCTCAACAGCTATGTCACGGGCTCACAGCTGTCCTTTGTGGCCGTGACCGGTGGTGCTATCACACTGTCTCTCGTCGACAATACTCTGATCCAGAACGCTACCGTGACCCAAAGCACGTTGACAGCCGTCGCTGCGCAGTTGACCACTCTTGACACCAACGTTTTGGCCGGCGTCAACCTGCAGGCTGGTCTGGTGACGAATAGCACGGGCGCACAGGTGGCAGCTCAGGACTCGACTGTCCAGGGAGACAACGACTTCAATGGGGCAACGGTGCAGTTCAGTGATGTGAGCGGTGGAAAGTTCAACCTGATTGCTTTTTCGACCTGCGACTCGATCGATGGGGCCAAGATCACGCAGGCGAACTTGCAGAACGTTGTTGTGAAGAACTCTCAGATCAATGGCGCCAATATTCAGGACTTTTTGCTTATCAATACCAAGGAGGAGGGAAACATCCTGAAGCAGGCAGAGAAACTCAACCCATTTCAGACAGTTTAAAGCTTACCTGCATGCATGGCTATGAGGGAGGGAGGGTATGTTGATCAGGAAGTGCATCTGGAGGAGTTTGAACCATTTTCTTGCATGATTAGATGTCGGCGTCTGGCGTTTGCTCTACATAACGTTAAACCAAATCACAGCGTCTAGAATAAAATCTGGCTGAGAAGCTGTCCATTCTTTTCAAGAATCCGTAATACCTCTGAATTGCTTCTATCCCGTCCATGTGAATGCATTGTGAATGCATTGCATCGTTCTTAGATCTGGCTATGATGATGCTGAGGAGAGAAGCCGAAGATAGCATTTGCTTATTGTTTGTTTGACTGACGAGGTTGAGCACCAACACCGCTCCATGGTACGTGCACGGACCATCCAAAACAACTGCTCAATTTGCCTACAAAATCTCCGAAAAGAAAAGCAAAGCGATTCCCCCACCATCACCCATAACATTAGATTTTTTCTCATTTCAGTGAATGCCAGCAGTCAAGCATTGGCATAACAATCAGCAATCAACAAACAACAATGAGCATCGCTCTACGCTACGTTCATTCCATCAGCGCCTGGGGCCAATGAGTATTCTTCTTGTACTCGATCAGTCGTTTACGTAAGCCATCCAATTGCCATCAATGAATGACAGCTGAAGGAGGGAAACACGTGCGCTTGGCATGTCATTTTGGGTGCTTCTGGCTTGGCCTTGGCCCTCTGTTGTCCAACTTGTCCAAGATGCCGACTGTCTTGGAACGGCCGCCCAGCAGCAGTGCAAAGCTTCCTTGCAAATGCTTGTGATGAAGCTTGTGCGTAACCAAGGATCCACCAGAAGCATGCAGGTCTCCCTCCCGACTTGACCCCAAGAGCACAAACAACGAGACGGGCCAGAGCTTGCGCAAAGCTTAGCTGCCAGCCAAGAGCCCACGACTGCAAGCTATGACAAGATGACGAGATGACGACCACACGGTGAAACCACAGATTGCGTTGCCAAGTGGGAATCGCTATTACCAGTCAAGCCACGCGTAACTAACCGGTCTCGAGCCGGTGACACGCTCAGTAACTCGCCTGAGGACTCTCTATAAAGGACTACAAAAGGGAGGCAGCCCGCCAAGGTCTTGCCAAGGGGTGCCAAGGGGCACCGGGCTGCTGTGGCACGAATCAATGAAAATACGCCAAGCAGTTGATCCTCCGCTCCTTTCTTCTCCAGCAGAGCTGGTCCTTGTAAGTCAAAGTCAACTCAGTCAGTCAGTGAGTCAGTGAGTCCAGCTTGTGTGTGTTCACCGTTACTGTAACTATGTAGCTTATTAGCTAGTCAGGTCGAACCAAACGGGCTGAGACGAAGCTCCTCCGCTCGGCTTGGCTGCGCCTGTTCTTGCTTGGTCCATCCGTGTAAGTCTCGTCTATGGTAGGGTAGAGAGGTGGAGGTAGGTGTCGTCTCATCATCAGGGCAGACTGTCCCTCAATTGCCCTCTTCGTACAATGATCCATTCATCACTCTCGCCTGTTCTTTCTGGCTTCTTTGATCCTACATCCATCCATCCAACTGCCGACAGGTTGCAGCTTCCCTGTTTCATTTTCTCTACCAACGACTACCGTTACCTGCTTGCTCATTGTATTAGGTATTGTTGTCGTGTCAGCCCTGCCCTGGCCCCAGCATACCATTCTCGTCACTCTCTCACATACCGGCACCTGCTTCGCCAGCTTTGTTTCTAATTATTGATCTGGCAAGGACATTTTCCACTTCCTTCATTGCCCTCCTTCCAACGGCTTTTTTGTTCTCACTACCGGTATTCTATTGATCGCCGGTGCTCGCGTCGGCGCCGTTGTTTTTCTCATTGGGCTGCCTCGTGCTGCTCAATTCTACACCTCTCATCCCCATCCCCATCAGTCCTGCGTGTATAGATACATACAACCCGCAGGCAATCGATCGGTCAACAGAGCCTTCAAAACTTGTGGCACGCTCGACGTTTGATATTCTCGTACGTCATTGGTGACAGTCTGCCATTATATCATCGATTGGCGTTTTTCCAATAATTCTGCCACCATCTGCAGCCAACGCGCGCGCGAAGTCTAGTGATATTTACATTATATCTTTCGCGACGCCATGGCAGCCACCGACACAAATGAGCCCGAAAAGGCTCAAGATATCACCGTAAGTGCATGTTCTCCTTCTACATTTGCCGGCGCGCAATTTTTTCTCATTTTCTGGGCTGACATTTTGGGGGCGTTGCGATATTGCAGAAAGCTGAGCAGCCTGCCGCCTCCCAAGTCGAAAGTGGCGTCACAAAACACAGCTCCAAATTCCACCTCGACCTCGAGGATGCCTTCACCCCAGACCCCGGCACGGAGGACATGTTCCGGGTCGACAACAACAAGTTCGCCTTCTCGCCCGGACAGCTCTCCAAGCTCCTGAACCCAAAGAGCCTCAGCGCCTTTTACGCCCTCGGCGGCCTGGCGGGCCTCGAAAAGGGCCTGCGCACCGACCGCCACACCGGTCTGAGCCCCGACGAGGACGTCCTGGACGGCACTGTCAGTTTCGAGGACGTCGCGGCCAAGGGCGCCCCCAAGTATGGACATGGCGGGAATACAGAGCCTCAGGGGAAGGGGACGGGTAATGTACCCGATGCCCCCCACAATAAGCCGACACACGGCTTCACCGATCGGCAACGCGTCTTCAGGGACAATCGGCTGCCAGAGAAGAAGACCAAATCGCTGCTCGAGCTGGCGTGGACGACGTACAATGACAAGGTGCTTATCCTGCTTACCATTGCCGCCGTGGTGTCCCTCGCGCTTGGCTTGTACCAGACCTTCGGCGGCGACCACGAGCCGGGCGAGCCTCGAGTAGAATGGGTCGAGGGTGTTGCTATTATGGTGGCCATCGTGATCGTTGTGGTTGTCGGCACTCTGAACGACTGGCAAATGGAGCGGCAATTCAACAGACTCAACAAGAAACACAATGATCGCACGGTCAAGGTTATCCGCGCCGGCAAGTCAATGGAGCTCTCCGTGTTCGACCTCATGGTGGGAGACGTCATGCATCTCAGCACCGGCGATCTTATTCCTGTGGACGGCATATTCATTGAGGGCCACGGCGTCAAGTGTGACGAATCGTCCGCAACTGGTGAATCGGATCTGTTGAAGAAAGTCGCGGCTGACGAAGTCTTTGCGGCCCTGCAAGAGATGGACCGTGAGAAGAAGGACAATCCTGCCATCGAGAAGATGGATCCCTTCATTATATCAGGCAGCAAGGTCCAAGAGGGCACTGGCACGTTTGTTGTGACTGCCGTCGGTGTCAACTCGAGCTACGGTCGAACAGCAATGGCGCTGCGAACTGAACAGGAGGACACGCCGCTGCAGCGCAAACTCAACATTCTCGCCGACTGGATCGCAAAGGTTGGCGGTGGTGCAGCTCTGGTTCTCTTTATTGTGCTCTTCATCAAATTTCTCGCTCAGTTGCCCCACAACCATGGCACACCTGGCGACAAAGGTCAAGAATTTCTGCAAATCTTCATCGTCTCCGTCACAGTTGTTGTGGTTGCAGTACCCGAAGGTTTGCCCCTCGCAGTCACGCTGGCTCTAGCTTTCGCCACGACGAGGATGATGAAGGACAACAATCTCGTGCGGATTCTCAAGGCGTGTGAGACGATGGGCAACGCAACGACCGTGTGCTCTGACAAGACGGGAACGCTGACACAGAACAAAATGACCGTCGTGGCCTGCACATTGGGCAAGGCGTTAAGCTTTGGCGGTACGGAGCCAACGCTCGACGACACGGCCGAGAAGAGCAGCGATGGAGCGAATGGTGCCGCCTCGGAAGAAAGCGCAGTGCCGAATGTCCCCGTCAACGAATTCGTCAGTGGCATGAGCCAGGAAACTAAGAACGTTCTGATCCAGGCAAACGCTGTCAACTCTACTGCCTTCGAAGGCGAGCAGGACGGAGAGAAGACATTCATTGGCTCAAAGACTGAAGTAGCCCTCTTGACCTTCTCCCGAGACCACCTTGGCGCTGGACCCGTGCAGGAGGAGCGAGAAAACTCCAATGTGGTGCAGGTTGTCCCATTCGACTCCGCGAACAAATACATGGCTACTGTGGTGAAGCTCCCCAGTGGCAAATTCAGGGCTTATGCGAAGGGTGCTTCTGAGATTCTCGTGGGCAAGTGCACCAAGGTGATCGCCGATCCGAGCGCGAGCGAGCTCACAAGCACGGAATTTACTGCGGAGGATCGTGAAGCGACTCTAGCGACAATCACCTCATATGCCGGTCAGACTCTTCGAACGATTGCCTCGTCATACCGCGACTTCGAGTCCTGGCCACCGGAGGGTGCTGTCTCGGAAGAAGACCCCAGGGCTGCGGATTTCAACAAGTTACATCAGGACATGACTCTCGTAGCTATCTTCGGTATCAAGGATCCTCTTCGTCCTACTGTCAAGGACGCTATCAAGGACTGCCAGAGAGCAGGTGTTGTGGTCCGCATGGTTACCGGCGACAACATCCTTACGGGCCGAGCTATTGCCAGGGAATGCGGTATTTATCATCCCGAAGACGGTGGAATTGCTATGGAAGGACCGGAATTCCGCAGGAAGAGCGAGGAGGAGCTGAAGGAGCTCGTACCTCATCTCCAGGTGTTGGCACGATCAAGCCCTGAGGACAAGCGAATTCTAGTCCGGACGTTGAAGGAGTTGGGCGAGACCGTTGCTGTTACTGGTGATGGCACGAATGATGCGCCTGCACTCAAGATGGCCGATATTGGATTCGCTATGGGTATTGCGGGAACTGAGGTTGCGAAGGAAGCCGCTGCCATCATCTTGATGGACGACAACTTTGCGTCAATTGTAAGGCTTTTGCGTAAAATCTCTAAGTACGGGATCACTGACAGAATGAATAGGTAAAGGGTATGATGTGGGGCCGTGCAGTCAATGACGCTGTGAAGAAGTTCTTGCAGGTATGCCTCGATCGATTCTCTTGTTGCTAGAGGATTGTTGCTGATGTGGCTCTAGTTCCAACTCACTGTCAACATCACCGCCGTCGTCCTGACTTTCGTCTCTGCTGTGGCTAGCAGCGATGAGGAGTCTGTCTTGAACGCCGTCCAGCTGCTTTGGGTCAACTTGATCATGGATACATTCGCCGCTTTGGCTTTGGCCACTGACCCTCCGAACCGATCAGTGCTGGACCGCAAGCCCGACAGAAAGTCTGCTCCTTTGATAACGCTAAGAATGGCCAAGATGATCTTCGGGCAAGCCATCTGTCAGCTGGCCATTACATTTGTTCTCAACTTTGGTGGTCCTAAGCTGCTGGGATACGATGTGCACGACGAGACCGAGAAGAAGGCGCTAAACACGCTTGTCTTCAATACATTCGTTTGGCTACAGATTTTTAACGAAGTCAAGTAAGTCTTTCTTATTCAGGCAACTTTACCTCCGCTAATGATTTGTCTTACAGCAATCGTCGCCTGGACAACAAGTTGAACATTTTCGAGGCTATCCACAAGAATTACTTCTTCATCATAATCAACCTCATCATGGTCGGTGGCCAAGTCCTGATTGTGTTCGTCGGCGGCGAGGCGTTCAAGATTGTCCGGCTCAATGGCAAAGAATGGGGCCTCTCTATTGGTCTGGGTGCCATCTCCATCCCATGGGGCGCCGCAATTCGTCTCTTCCCCGACTCGTGGGTTGCCGCCATGCTGCCCTGGTTCATTCGCAAGAAATGGGCACCGGAGACTATCTCTCAAGACCTGGAGCAGCAGCACCGAGACGAGGTGGAGGGCATCCATCCGCCATTGCGCGTGCTCACTGGCATCCGGGGAGCAAGAGCCAGGAAGAATATGCGCGTTGGCATGCGCGAATACCTCCACGACCAGAAGGTCAAGGCGAAGGCGAAGATGCATGGTCATACCACCTCGGATACCGGAAGCGATGTCGCGGAGAAGAAATAGAGCCGCAGAAGGCGTCTTCTTTCCCTGTTAATTTATTTTGTCATTAATAGCTTCCATGGCGGCTGTGCTTGTCGAGAAAAGTCTTATTTGCCTAGGGCCCTTGATACCTTTGATGTACGGATACCAGGAGTAATAAGAACTGATTTACAAGTTCCCCTACGGTTTTCATTTCGGGGCCAATCACAGACGGATTTGTTCTTCGCAATCAGCAACACTACGGTAGAAGTGAGCAGGATTGTGAGCAATAAATGGTTTTATTTGATCTTGAACTCAGTCTCGCTAAACGAGTTGCTACGCAACGCTTGACCGTCCATCAACCCTTGGAAATAGCAGTCCCCGACCAGCTTGACGTGGATTTCGTCAACCGGACGCAGTACCAATGGATGTCGACAACCGTACAGAACGGAGACCGTGTCCGTCAACCGTGTGTCCGGGGAAACCCATCCAATTTGACCAGTAGCTAGTCGGCAAAAGCGCTTCAAGAGGACAGAGTTCAGGACATCGCGTTGCAGGACCAGAACTTGCTGCGAGAAGACGCTCGCAACATTATAGTAGCTGTCGGACTGTAGAGTCGCATCGGGGTTATACAGACCCAGTAGCGTCTTGGCATGTCGGTACATGTAACGTATGGATCGAAGATAACTATCGAACGGTGGCGTTGAAACGTCATAATCGAGTTCGCAACAGAGGGCCTTGAGAAACGCTGTGTATTCATCGGTGTCGCAGAAATCGCGAGATATGTTGACGTTCTCTCCAAACGCTACGCCGTGGCAGTCGGTCAGCCAGTCGTATATCCATTTGAATGTGGGCTGTCGCTGCTGGCCGGTCGCATTGAGATGTTCGTTCACGGCTTGTATCTCCGAGATAGTCTTCCCTATCTTGGCTGGCGAGGAGAGATGTTTCCCGGTCACGTATAGCACTCGGCCGTCTCGCGACACTGAGAATCGGGGTGGCACATCACCAGAGGCTCGGTATGTTGCAATAAAGTCGAAATTCATGGCGGCAGGAGCCTGGGTCCAGTCGGGAACCCAGCTAGGCAGATCCATGCTCTCGCTACGCGCGTATGATGGTGCGACGATGATATGTCGTAACGATGTCTGGGCGGTCATATCTGCGACTGTAAACTCGACAAACACACTCGTGATATCCTTGGTGTAGTCTGGCCGTATCCTTCTTGCTACGGGGTCCGTTGACATGCCCAATAGTGCATAGATTTTGTCTCGAGGGTCAGTACTTTTGAATGTCCGGCAAAGACACAGCATCTTGAAGAAATCGTTCTGAAACGCGATATCCCGTCGCATCACAGTCGAAATGTGCCTCAATGTATCTACCATAGCATCCGGTTGTGATGCTTCGAGCCAGTTGGACAGGTGATGGCCAAGAATCCGAGAAGCGACAGAACGGAAAATTGTCCATGACACCGACCGCGAGCCCCTGAACACCATTGCATCCTTTCCATAAGCCACTTCCTGGATCACCCAGACTCTAGAGAACCAGGGATTTTCGAATAGTCGACCCAGTGCCTGCCACCTTGGCTTCGAGAGGAATTGCCCAGCTGCGTTAATGTCTGCCATTGAAACGTTCGCGCGAGTCTCTTGCAGGAGGCCGTACTCTAACGGAAGTTTTTCGTTGAGGATATCGATAGCTCCGAAAGCATCCTCGTCGGTACCTGTCTCGCCTCCTAGCCAGATCAAGACATTCGATGCGCCATTGTAGATCTTTCGCATCACAGCAACTTGATGCCCGCGCTCCACGATATCGGCCTGGTTGATGCAGATTGCATCTGCCCACAGAAGACGCTCTCGATCGGGGTGGCGAAATTGTTGAAGAGCAGAGTGCAGATTGTTTGTGATCTGTTTCGAGCCGGCGGGACTACTTATCTCGCGAGTATCTGTGGGGTCACCCCAGACATAGGAGATGGCATCGTATTGTGGCGCTTGGTCGAGAGGATAGTGATGCAGCTTGCATACAATAGGCTCTCCTGAAGCGCCTCTCCGAAGTTCAATAAGCCTGAACTCTCCAGAGTCTCCGCCGCTGGCGCTTGATTCCTGTAGCGGTCGGTAGGCGTGGGCCATGGGGGCGATCTATAGCTTCACGGTTAAAGCCAGGTATCAGCCTGGTACAAAAGGCCGCCGGCGAACGGGCCGGGCGATAGGAGCCGCCGAGTCAGAAGACTTCTTTTCGGCCTACGCCACGTGTCGATCCTCCGTCTTGTCCGGAAGACGGAGGCAGATGGATGGCTGGCGAATAGGCATGGCAGTCGATCTAGAAGTCGTCTCGACAAGGTAGCGTCGGGTCTCCTAAAAGAACCGGCGCGAACAGCAACGTGAGCGCATGAGGTGTTCGTCTTAGTCGAGATCGAATAACAAATGCATTCGGCCGGCATCAGATACTTGAATGTCCAAAAGGTTGAAGTCGATCGGAGCCGGATTGATGAAATTGGTCAAAGTCAAATCTGGACCGGTCCGAGGCAATATGTGGAGGCCAAGAGGCCTCCAACCGCGAAAAGTCCTTTTCCTGGTCAGGCATCGCCGACAAATTCAATGATAGTTTTCAAGGGATGCCCCGATAGCACATTTAGCTACGACTAACACAGGCGATGTGCAATGCCGTTAAGAGTCTTATCCTCGCGCGGGTACAGTACTCGAGTACCGTACTTACATGCTACGCAGTAGACGGCCGGCATGGCACGACTGTCTGCAAGCGTACCGTGATACATCTGTTTGGTGGGCCCCTCTGTGAAAGGTCTAGACCATGATGGATCTTCGGGCATCCTTGAGGCGCCGAAAGAACCGTCCTAGTGGGCGATCCGGTCCCCGCCAACAGCTTGACGCCATCTACGAATGGTCTTGGCACGGCTTGATCGACCTGGTCGTGCGTATCAGGCCGGTGTAAGTCTGCATAGCTTGACTTTTCGAGCAGGCGTGCGGTCCCCGGGGCCCGGATTTGATGTGAAGAGATCGAGATAGGCCCAATCCGTTTATGCTCCACCCACGACGCCGCTCAAACGTGCCTTACAGGTCCTTCTCCGGAATTACATGGCGCCAAGCCAGCACTGCCACCGCGTCGGACGGGTGTAATCTCTCGTGTTAGCGCCATCCGCGCATTAAAATCCTGGCGTTTGTAGGTGCCGAAGACGGCAAGCTCAGGTAAACCGTCGACGCTACGCGAAAGTAGTCATCCAACTCAATGTCGATGACAATTACGGCCATGAAACTTAAGGAAGGTCGGCAATGTTCTCAAGCATGCAATTGATCGGCAATGCGTGTACCATTGTACCGCAGACGCTGGGCTGTCGATCAGAGGACAAGGGCTAAAGCGGGAGATTGCCTTTCAGGTCCACCAATTCCGACCCGAGACTCCGGACTTATTCCAATGATTATGCATGCAATTTGATAAGGGACGAAATTGCGATCTAAATCCTCAGCATATGGGCAGAATTCAGGCAAAGACGGCAGTGACGATAACAGTAAAGAACGGCTGCGTCAGCCCGAGAGAATGCCGTATTTAATATGATCTGTCCTTGCAATGCTTACTTCACTAAGCCTTTATCGTTAGTCCCAGCCCATTCTCACCAATCTCATTACGATGCCATTGAATTACATCAAGTGCCGTCACGGCTTACTTCTGGATCTTCTCATCCAAACACGTGCACATGGGGAGTGCATCGGAAATTTTCTGCATTGTGACGCAAGGACAAGATATGCTATTGATGAAGGTTTGACTTTCATGTCTATATTGACATCTTCGTATGCGAGGCAAGTATACGAGAATACCAGATTTTCGGATTCTGTCGGCCGCAACGAAAGAAGGGCCACGCTGAACTACATATCAGTGACTCTCGGCTAGCATTGATAAGCTCTCTCTTAAGCTGGTGTAGCCTTCTCTGCCCATATCTTTCAGAATCTCCTCTGCTCTTCCTCTTTGTTCGATGACTGTTAATTCATCCCATATACCGGGGACATCCTCCATGAAGGTTCTGTCCGGGAAGAGCACACGGAACTCCTTTAGGACGGTGTTCCAATTGTACGTCTCTGCATATGCAAATATACGCTCATTCGCAATATTCTTATTTGTTAGAGCTGCGATGTGGAGACGGGCATTGTCTTGAACATCAACAAACCATACTTTGACAATTAGCTCTATTTGAGGTCACTCATTCATGGCACTCACGCGGCGGATAGTCTTTGATGAAGTAATTGATAGCCTGTTGGTTGTTGATCAACAATGAATGAGCCAGATTAGCTGTTGATGGGTAGCCTTGGTTCTCTACACTGAGAACTTTGCCAAAGGTGACACCCGGCAAGACTTGCAAATCGTCAGCATGGTCTAGGTCATCGGTTTTCGCGGTAGACTTGCCCGTATTTACGACCAGCTCAGGCTGGTTATCCTGAACCCATTTCCATAGGGCTCTCTCACCCTTAGACTTGCTGGCTCCATATACGATAAGTGTGTTCCACAAATTGTATGCGTCCTTTGTCAGATTCTTGGCCAACTCAACACTCTCCTCATTCCAGGAATCCTTGGTTATGACCGACGTGTTGTGCGGCTGAGCAAGTGCTGCAGCTGCTGCAGACGACGTAAAGACGAACCTTTTAACTTCTTTTTCCATTGCTGCTGACTTGAGAATCCCAAGAGTGCTGTCAATGGCGGTTTGTACAACACCGGCTGGTTCCTGGCTCATATCGAGAATCAAAGCTGTATGTACTACCCCATGAACGCCTACCAGAAACATGAGCGATGTAAGATATTAGAAATAGACTCCAGCGAAGATCTTCACTAACCCTTCATAGCCTCACTAAAGGCTCCTTCCTTTGTATAGTCCGCAACCTCAGCAAGCTCAAAGCTGCCCTTGCCGAATTTCTTCTCAAAAAAGTCTATCATCCATTTGTTTTTACTGGTGCTTCTAACAACCCCGCGCACTAGGTAGCCGTAATTCAGAGCCTGGTCAGCTACGTGAGATGCGATATACCCATTGACTCCAGTAACGAGAATCTTCGAGCCTGGAGGAAGAACAGAGTTGTTGGGTGATGCCATTTCCAAAAGATACGGTTCGCAGAGAATTATCTGCGATGATGTCGTTGATACTTTACAAAACATTCATTCCTGGCGAGATTGGCAAAAGGTTTCGTTCGTCCGCTTATAAACTGGTGTCTAAATTCATGTGCCGCACACTTGTTGTCTTAGTTGCTTGTAGCTCAGTCCATCAGCCAGTCACAACTCCCCGTCTATTACGGTCATCCACCACAGATCCTTCGACAATCCCTGTGGGACTACCAACGATGCCTCACAAGACCAGCCACGCAGTAAATAATATCACACAAGTTCCCCCTAGAATTGGCAGTTCGTAAAGTGCCAATCAGCAAAAAGGCAGCATTTTCACCTGGGCCGTTGAGTCTCTAATTAGCAATCAAGCACCCGTAAGGCAACCAGATCTCTCAGTGATAAGCCGTCTATACGGTAGAGTAACCAGATAGTGAAACGAACAAGCTGCTAAGGGCCGAACCATAGAACAAATTTCTAAGGAAATTTGCAGTGGAATATTACTCAAATAGTAACTCAACCAAGTCGATTGAATGTGGAATAGTCTATCTGCTCGCGTCTACCTAATAGGTAGCTAGCTCTTCCGATACTAAGCATTCACGGCCTGAATATTCAAAGGTAGCTTTGAGGAACAAGACTTGTATCAAGAGTCTTATAATCTGAGCATCAGTTGAAGTGAGAAGAGATAATTCATACCAAATTTATTGTAAAGACAACTGTGTTAGTTTGAAGAAACCAGAACCTCTCGCTAGTACTATCCCAGTAGGAGTAGTAAATGGCTTTGCTAACTATAAACTTAGGGTCTTTGAAAGTCCTGGCAGGCTTGTCGCAACCGCATCACTCTCGAGTGCTCATCATCCGAGTTATCCCGATCCAACCACCCACCCCACCAGTCACCCTGAAAAACCATGTCCATGTATAAATCCCATGTTTTCTCATCGGCAAGCGCAGCCGACGCCCAATTACCCAGCATGATGAGCTCCCCCTCCAGAGTGGAGCGATCACCCGCGCGGAGTGGCGGCTTCCCGCCGAACAGCCCCGGGAGGGCCCACATGCCACCACCGGCCGGTGAGCGTTGCCCCAAGCCCAGGATAGCCTCGGTACGGGACTTCCAGGCGTCGGCGAGGATGCGCTGGCGTGCCCTCGGCTTTAGGTTCTGCACGGAGCCGAGGTCGATGCCGAGGAGTTCGTGCGGGAGGACCGGCCAGGGCAGGTTGAGCTGATCGAGGGGGGCGCTGGCGGTGGGTCGAGTTGAGGACGACGGAGCTGATGAGCGTCGCAGTTCGAGCAGGATGGCGCAGGTGTGCGGCCGGTCGAGTCTCCCGAGAGTGGACTGGAGGTCGCAGAGTTCTCTCTGGAGATAGGTCAGGTCAAGGGATCATATTCGCAAGCACATCGGGTTGTACTAACCAGCCGCAACCCTGGGGAGACAGAATGCTCATTATATGAGCTCCATTGGGCTCGCCATGGAGTCGCCCACCACGCCAGGGCTATTGCCAACATGCCAATGAGCAAGGACGACAATGTCATGAGTCTCAGGGCTGTCATAGTATATAGATCTTGGGTTTCTGCCGGTTGCAAAACAGCGAAGGCGTGTCTAACGACTGTGTGGCAGTCCGGGAGGATTCCAGGCCAGGCCAGGCCAGGGCTTGGGCGCCTCACCTTCAAGGCAGCAAGCAGGCGGCTTTGCCTCGTCTCAGTGGAGAGGCACCTGTATGTACAGTACATGTACATTGCTGCAAACCTGTGGTTCTTTGGGCGTGACTGTCATTGTCGCTCGTCCCACAAGTTAGGCAGTGTCTCAGTCAGGTCCCGACCGACAACTTCTGGATGCGCACCAAATGACACTTTGGGGTAAGCTTTTGAATAAGACAAAGAAGCGGTATAAAAAGACTCCGGAACTAATCATGATGCTCACATAAGCATTAAGTGGTGTTGTCCGTGTGCCCATCATTCTGACCTTCTCTGATAAACTTTTCGCTAGCGAGCCGTGGCCGTGGCCGTGGCCGTGGCCCAATTGCCCCCTCCGCATGTGGTTACGGTGCCGCCCGCGGTTATCAAACACGTCCTTTGTTCCAAGGTCCATCGCCCATATCTACAGCCTTGTCAGTCCTTCCTCGACTATGCATTTCTTCCTTCTCCTACATCAACGATCCTCGCTAGGCACTGACAGTCTCTTAGGAAGGAGACCGTGAGCCGTGAGCCGTGAGCCGTGAGCCGTGAGCCGCAGCACCAAGGGCTCGACGCCGACTGCAAATATGGCCTCTGCCAGACGGGAGCAGTCTCGGGGCACCAACAAGCGATCGTCTCCAGTCACAGTCGATGGTCCGGTCGGAGCAGCTTTCCAACCCCCCAGCTCTTTTAGTGCCTGTACCTTTACCATCAAGCTACGAGCGGGTGTCCAGCCTGTCAGCCTCTACGTTCACGATGACTTCGCCGTTTCGGACAGCCCTGTCATCGTCCAACTTGGCCACGACACAATGAGGATCGTGGATTCGCCGCCGGCAGATGGTGCTCGAATTCTCGGCTTGCCCGATGTTCTCGACGAGGAGGAAGAAGAAGAAGGAGAAGAAGAAAACACTCCTGTGAATGGCGGCGGTGTTCGTATCGGTCGAAATCGACAGCAGTCGCAGGGGAAAAGACGCCGCTCTTGTTTCTCGCTGCCTGCTAGCTTTGCCCTGGTCATCATCCTGGTCATCATCTTCCTCGTAGGGCCGCCGAGACGCCAGCGCGAACCTGCACCACCAGACTATGCCGCCACTGCACCTCTGGACCCGGGCCCAGACGTCGCGTTTGTAGACCTCATGGTGCGGCACGCTGCAGTGCCACGCGCCATCGTCGAGTCAGGTGCGACCAACAAATATAACTACATGCCTCTCCTATCCGACGCAACCGATTACTGCCATAAGCTTCGCCTCATGCTCGCAGGCCATTGGTCCGCAACCATACATGCACCGTCGAAACGCAATCCAGATCGCCAGCAGTGGTGGGTCTGGATGACGGGCTGGGCCCGTAATGGCCCAGAATTTGGCCTGGCACATGACCATGCTCAGAAATTATGTAAACAATTCACTGATCCTATCTTCCCTCTAGCCCTGGATGTGGTGGTACCCCTACATGTTACCATGCGCTCGTTCTGGGGTGCCCATGCCTTATCCGGGCTGCGGAGTGCGTCGAGCGGCCTGCGCAGACTCTTCCCCCAGACGCACAGGCAAGGCATCCTCCTGCTTGAAGGCGAAGCATACCAAACAACGTCCTCGATGGGCGATCAGGGGTTTGACTCTTCTTTCGCGGTTGCAGTTCTGAAGGAGCTCACCACCCCATTGACGATGCCGTGGCACTATACCCAAGAGCCCAGAGTGAATCTGAGGGCTTTAAACGAGAGTCTGAACCAGTTGGTAATGCTAGGAGAAAAGCTCCTGGCGCCCGAATGGGAGCAATGGCTTGCTCTAAATCGTGGTGGTGGTGATTATGTGCCTGACGCTGAGCCGTCCCGAAAGGATCTCCGGGCCTTGGCTAAGCTCAGAGATCAAACGCTGGCCAGACTATCCGTTCTCAAGGACGTACGGGAGCGGTTTTTAAGCCCAGTATCCGAAGCCTTAGCTGTGACGGAATCGGATGTCGACCAACTCAAAGAGTTCATGAAACGCCTTATCACTGGGTCCGGATGGATTCGCCCGGAAGGTCATGGGGGTCAGCGAGTGCTTACCCGTTACTATTTCTCCCCACGGCCCGACCTGCCTACGTGGATAGATAGCGTGGCCGAGAACTTGACCATTGAACTTACCGAGTTTGCATACAAGTTACGCCAGACCGATGCCCTAAGGGAGGAGCAGGAGTCATTGAAACGTGAGAAGTTACTCCGTGGCCCGAATTTCTTAGTTAGATTGTGGACGAGCATTGAGAGATGGTCAAGAAGGCCTTGGTGAAATGACCAGTTAGTTAGACATCTCGTCACTAGGGATAAAATTATTAGGCCTCGCGCCAAGTAAGACGTAATGCGACGATGTCATTGCATTTGCGCACCTGGGATTGTGTGAGTTCACGTCCTTATAGTATTATGAGCCTTGCGCTCGTCTCTGACGAGTATCATCCTGAGAGCCATGCGCACTTTGATCGCGCGCTACTACCATGTACTGATTCAATAGCGAGTGTCAATTCGATCAATCAAAAGCTACCTAAAGGAAATTGTTGCCTTGCTCAACCCTAATACAACATTTACAACCACATATTCTCACGAAAGATCCTCTTAGCTCTCCCGTTCTTCTTCCCAATACTCGATACACCTAAGCCCCCAAACGGCAGTGTTGTCCATTTCTACCTCGAAGGCCATCATTTTGGAAGGTTCATTGAGCGGATCAGCCTGAATGCGGTCTCGCAACTCCTTGAGGGACTCTTGAGCATACATGTAAACCTCGATGTCGTGGGCCAACCTTGAAATGACATCTGTAGCGGCATTGCGATCCGCCCAAGCGAACATGCACATGTTTGTGAAGCTGGACTGCGCAGTCCGAATGCCTGAGAGGCCGCTGGTGAGCTCTGCCTGGATACCAGCTGTGCCGCCAGCTAGCTCAAAGCTTCCGCCGCTCCCCAAGGCAGCTACGTGAAGTTCGTCCACCTTCGCCTCAAGTTGCCATTTGGCATCAGTCAAGTCTCGAGATGCCTGACATACAGGCCCAACCATCTCCTCTACCTTCGACAGGCTGGAAGGGGCCAGGGAATGGATCCACTCCTTCCGCTCGCTCAGGCCATTCTGGAGTATCTGGTCCAGGTCGTCTACCCGGCGGAGCAGATGAGACCGCACGGAACGTTGTAACGCTCTACGGAGCGTAGTTAGCACCGTCTGCCAGACCGAGCCCAACCAGCTAGCGGCAGAGTAGGTTCTTCGTCCCACAGGGTAAGCCTCGGATTTCTCGAGGACCCCGGCGGCGGGCTGCTTACGCAGCAGCCTTCGAAACGAGCGAAGGGCGTCACGCTCAGCCTCGAGTCTGGGATGCATAAGCTTTCCTAGTCGGTCATTGTCCGCCTTGATTTGATCGATGCTTTTGCCCAGCTTGGTGTCGAACGGTGCCAAGGGTACCTGCAGGGCCACTCCGGCGGCGAAGTATAAATAGTTCGAAGTTGTGCCCGGCTGTTCATCGCGGAAGCGTTCTAGCTCGCGCGCCCCAGGTGCCATGACTGCATGTGCCAGGGCTATCCCATCGACGTGCACCAGCGGTTGGCGCCGGATCGGCGGCGGGACGACGCCGTATTCCGGGCCAAGGTCGGGGAGGACTGTGGGGTTGACCAAGCCCACATGTGTGCTGAGGGCGTAGCAAGCAGCAACAACGGGAGCGGAGATGGTGTGGTAGACGACGCTGCCCCAGGGCCAGGTGTAATTGAATACGGCGCAGACCGAGCCTACACTTACGCGGATGAAACCCTCCACAATAGCATCAATGACCATCTTGAAAAAAGTGCAAACACCCCACCAGATAGCATATGCGCAGAGGTATGAGGCCATCATCGCCAGCAGTATGGCGATGAGCCACCCAAAGATGTAGAGTAGGGTCGAGTTCGTGGTCACGATGCGCATGGCAGAGACCAAGAGACGCCCGAGGCCATATCTGGCCTCTTTGATGAGGCTGTTCTCTTCTTCGATAGAGTACCGTGATGTTGCGCGTGAAGGGTATCCATCACTATCGTAGGCTTTCACCCTAGGATCACGAGAGCTGCCGGTAACCCGCCTTTCAGATTTCACGGGGGGAATGAGGGGCCTCGGAGGCGAAGGCACACATTGTTGAGGATCGGCTTGTGAGACTGGGCCTGACGGAGCAGTCGTCTCCGCTTCGCGCCCAGCATCTTCAGCCTCGTCGTCGCCAGGACTACTACCCGCATCGCCATCGTCATCACTACTCCCGGATAGCGGCCCCGGGAAACTGTCTACCACCTCGAGCCCATCGTCAGGGGTTGGTGATTGTAGAGCGGGAGATGCGGGTAGATTGGAGGATGAGATGTCGCGAGGAGGTGCTGGTTGTCGTTCTGGGTGGTGTGGAACAGGCTCCACCGCTGTTGGCGAGACTAGTGTCTGTTTGTATATGTCTTCTGATTAGCATCTTACATTTCTCACCTCGAAACGACATCAGCAATCATTAGCCACAAATACTGGGCAAATGAAACAGGGCTCGAGCTGTAGGTGCCAGGCTTATGGTCTCAATCGTGGTGGGCTTACCTCATCGTCATGCTGCTTCGCCGATTCGTCTGGACAAGTATCTGGGCGATACATGGCTCTATCGTTGCTCTTGGGCGCCATCGGCATCGCGCAGGTGGGATGTTTTTTGAGTCAAAAGAGTTGAGGACAGCTGTAGAGATCACAGTTCTGATCAATGCATTTTTATAATTGAAAGTCCGGAATTTGTTTCGTTTCAGGATGATGGTTCTTTGTCTATCCTGCATCAGTGCTCAGCAAGCCGGTGTGGCTGTGGCTGCGACACCTGCATGCAGAGGTATATTATCATCCCCCATCTTTGCAAGTGACCTGGCAGAAACTGTATATCAAGAGTGTGAGAGCCAAAACGACAAAAGGGGAGTAAAGATTGAAAATGACTAATGCACATCGCCCGGCAAGGCCAGTATTACAGAATTATATAGCATCTACGGTACAAAGCTTTTCTCTCTGAACCTTTTAGTTTCAAATTCGGTCAAGTTGCAAATAGCTGTTGATTCCTTTCCTCTCTTTACACCGTGGTAAGCCAATGATCTCACAAAACAACCCCAAAAGAATGACCTTCAAACGCCTGCTATGCCATAGGTCGAGTAATCCTGGGTCATGGTTTACCTGACCAGGATACCCAGTCCATGTTCTTCCTGTTTTGTTTCCTCGTTGGTGTTCTGGGCAAGTCACCACTTGTCTTTGGGCGATTTTGGTTTCTGAGATAATAGTTGCCAGCATCCCCTGCCCTTGCCGCTTCCAGTGTCAAATTCCGCGAAACTCTTTGATCAAAGGTCTCGACCCTGACATCAACCTCCTTCTTCACAGATATGCTCCAGGCTGGGCTGTCAGCTCTGGAGCGCTCTTTGGCCTGCATCCCGAAACTTGTTGCGTATATACGTTCTTCGCTCTCGGTGAAGGCGGGCAGGGGATAGGGGGACTTAGCTCCCAACCCTTTGCGGGGATTCTTGTCTTCGAAGCGATGCCTCCTCGATTCGTACATGTGCGACGTGCTGGAATGGTTCCTAGTTATACAAGAGCGGATGGAGCGCATGAAAGGGATGCAAATTGGAACAAGCATTGGCAGATTCGATGTCACTATCGCAACGAAAGTCTCTCGGCAAGCCCACGCACCCGCTTGCCTAGCCCCATTGAGCCGATTCTATATTGGCAATCGTTAGTCGAAAATTATATGCGAACCCCAGAATGATTATCTTGGCTTACAGAGAATATCAGAGCACTGCGAAGAATACTTATAACAATGACAAGGATTCCTCCACAGAATAGCGCAATAAGTCCGGCTTTTTTGAGTGGTCTGAGGGAAGCGTGGTAGACCATCGGTATGGGGATGAATAGAAGATAGATATTCGTAACAACGTCTAAGGTGACCGTGACAAAGATGTTAACTCGGGACACGGCAGGTTCGCAGAGGTCTATAGCGGGAGTAATTAGTTCTCAAGTAGTAAAATAAATAATGAAAATACAGACTTCCGGGATTGGGGTTGATCTGCCAGTTCTTCTCGATTGGTTGGCATTGGAGGAGAAGGGGAAGTTGGGTGGCGATCCAGGTCACGATTATCAACCCAAAGCCTACATATATCCGCGATGTATAGTTCAAGCCTTCCTAATATAAGGTTAGATATGCTTGTGCAACCCTAAAAGTTAAGGTGGGTTCTTACTGTAAGACGTACATAGAAGCTGCACATTGCAGCCTTTAGTGTCCAAAGCAAGAGAACGTATGTGGACCAGCCAGCAAGTTGAGCTTTAGAGCCTTTAACTCTGCGCAAATGTCAGCCCTCAATCGGCAACTCTCGGAGAGTTGTGTGGATTAGTACCTCAATGAATACTCGTCGCTCACAGGATCGAGAGCTTGTCTCTGCTCGTCCGTCATCGCATTGTTCGCGAATCCGTGCCAATATGCCCCAACCGAGTAGGCCAACATGGTTTCGGCGCAGTACATCACCTTAAAGTGGTCAGTGAGATCTGGATACAAGGCGGTGGATGGCTTACTGCTGCTATCAACATTAAATAGTCATCGGCCTGCAAACGCTCGAAGCCTTCCCACTTATTCGAGCGTAGGTCCGCAGTGCGATAACAGAATGACCAACAGCAAGCAATATGAATACCTCAACACCCGAGGAATCCATTGCAAAGCTGCGGCTACGACCTTCGCACAGGCGTAGTTCGAAGAAAAGCAAACGAAAGGAAGAAAGAAAACAAATCAGAAGGACACTGGTGTATGAGCGCAGTGGTCGGAGCCCGAAGGCCACCGGGAGCACCCCTTAAGGAATGATAAAGCATCAACAAACGGTAGACAAACTATAGTAGTGGCACATATTACCATCGATCGACGAATTTGCTGTAGTCGCCAAGTGGAGCTCTGTGAGGCGAACTCGCACATCACATCTTGACAGGTTGTACACGTTACTTTTATCATGCTGCTCTGATAGTGTAGTTCAGAGACAGACTGGAAATGAGCTCCTCAAGAAGCATCATGCGAGTGCCTTATAGCTCTCGCGACATGTGATCATGAACCGAAATGCCTCCCCGAAACCGATGTGTCTTGGGACAGCTGCATTCAGTCAGTTACCACGCCGGCGGATTCGAATGGCGGAACAGAAAGAAACGGGTTCAGCGAGGAACTCGTGCGGAAAGTACCAAGGGACAAACGAGGCTTTCATTGGCGTATTTACATGGGGAACGGAGCAGTGAGTGTCCACAATGGGGGCCCAACGTTGCATCATGAGATAGTCACCCGATGCTTAGGGCTCGCTCAGCTTAGAACGGCGAGAGCTCACCTCTGAAGACGGAAATGGATTTTGGAACACTTGTGTTTCGTCTCCGAGTATTGTGGTATATCACGACTGGGACCGTTGAAGAAGTATGGGATATCTGACAGTCAATCTGAATCCATGTGAAACATGATACTAATGGCGACTATGTAGAGTAATGTCCTCTCGAGACAAAGGCATAAACTCAGGCTTGCTGACGAAGGCTTTGCCAAACGAGAACGACTTCAAGAATTGCTGGTAGGTTGGCCATGACATCTATACATTGCGTGTCGCTAATACTCACTGGAAAGGATTATTTGGGGTAGAGAACTGACTGGCGACTTTGTTGAGTTGAGGTATCAATTGATGTTTCCGGTACTCGTCCAGAGACTGTAACGCGGCTGTCAGACGTCTTGATTGCTTGGCTCATGCGCGTAGTCAACGCTATAGATTAAGAATGATCAAATTGTGCTCCAGGAGAATGATGTTAAAGGAGCCTTGACCGTGATATGAAGTGCTGAACCCATATATATGGCATGATACAACCAGTACTGGCTTAGAACAAGAGTATGTTGTGAAAAGCAAGCTTTGTTGATCCCAATGCAAGTCCCGAATGTACATTTTCCAGGCCAGGTTTCCATGCTTAGATTCAGGGTCCCCAGGTGGGAAAAGGGCGAAAGAGATTTATTTAAAGATGCTCTCCAGATTTAGATTCTTGATCAACGTCAGCATTCTGTCCCTCGGACGACGCACATGTTCGGTCTTGTGTGGCATAATTTGGTCTCTCTATCAGCTTCGTGGTGTATTCTACACTGAAAACATCATCAACACCAAGGAGAGATGTTACATACTCAATATCATACTACCTACCATACGCCACACGGTGAGAAAGCCCAGCATCAAGACATGCCCAGCACATCTTGTAGTCAGCGCCCAGTCTCCTTTTCGACGCGTTGCTCTTCGCTGTCTAGCAGTCATGTTGCGTATAGAAGAATTAATCGGGAGTTCATGCAGCTGCACTTCGACGCAGCCAAAGCCAGACGAGCATGTTAGTCCGCCTTCACCAAGTGCAGAACATAATCTGAATTTCTCTGGAAGGAATCTCATGGGACTAGCGATGTGCACCCTTCTCCGACAAATAGTACGGTCAGTGGCTCAACAGAGAGATGCAAGTCTCCCAGGTTCATGGAGACCACGGTCTACGGAGGCTAGGGCGGCGGTATGGGGTTAAAAGCTATCACAATCGACCTATGGCTGCACAGAAGCAACTCACGGAGGCTGCGAAATTTACCGGTTTCCGGGATCTCGACGGCCACGGTAGGCTGAGCGGACTGTCCCAGCTTAGGGGGGTCCTTGGGACAACCCGCGTCACCAAGAGAATGGCAGTGACTGGTAAATCCACAACCCACACACCCTTCGAATGAAGCTTCCAAAGTTATGAACAAGTAATATCACTCACTTGTCGGTTGTCAACATGCTAAAAAGGCTAGACAAGTCGACAAGTCGACTGAGCTCTCTCTGGACCTGGCACACTGCTGATTGACTTACCTGGATCAATAGCTATCGGGTGTGCTGTACAGTACATGGTGCGACAATGCCTACCTGAGGCAGGCGACCATTCCCAGGGGTTTAAAGGTTCCAGGTTAATATAATCTTGGAAGCCAATAGAGGTCATCCAAAGGGATCCATGTGCTGGTACAATTCTCGGCCACCGTTACATTTGATAGAACCTTGGTTTGTGGGAGGGGGAAAAACCAGTGATGGTGATATGGGAGACTCGGAGTACGAGAACAGTTTACGACACTTCTGCATCTTCAATCGCTGTGGTTGATCACCTGAATACAACCTGGAATGTGAATGGTTTGGGGGACAAGGGATGTGATTTGTGATTTGTGCTTCGTGCTTCGTGCTTCGACAACGTGGGGTGTGATGTAAATGTACAGTACGGAGTTATGTACAGGAATTAGTGCCTGTGGGCGGCTGACCATCCCTAAACTCTTCTAGAAGTCCACTGTAAGCCCTCCCGACGTTCATGTGCCCACCCACCCAATGCTTCCACTTTAGGTACCCAAAGACCATCGCACCCAAACGCCCACCACCTGGTTGGAGCCAAAACCACCCCGAGCCTAAAGTTTTGTGCTTCTTTTGTCAGCCCCCACGAAAGGTCATGCATGGGTCGGCTGAGTGCGGTGCGGAGAAGAAGCATAGAAGAGCCCGACCTCCCCTCGCCCCCCACCTCTGTCACCTCATTAGAATGACTTCCTCCACATGCACCAGATATATAAGACGCGATAAATGGTTTCAGAAGAATTCATGTTAAAATCACTGGCTCAGATGACGGGTTCACTGGAGAGGTCCGCGCCTTTTTGAGCCAGAGCACCGTCAATGATGACAAGAAACGTCCCGGCGAAGCAAGCAGCCTGAAGCATGTGCTCCGGCATGTGGCGAAGATGTTGCTTGCTGCTGATCGACTGCGACTGAGACGGTATCAAAGCAAGGCTGGACGAGACTAAGGAGAGGAGTGATTAGTGAGGAGCTGGCCAGCGGAAGTGGATGGAGAAGGTGGAGGAGACTGTCAGGGGCTTACATGTGCTTGTTGCTGAAGTTCGCAGAGCCTCGATGCCCAGTGGCATCCGAGATACAAGCGTGAAGTGACTGCGAGGTTGCGTGTTGCTGTTGTCGAATTGTGAGGGTAACTCGTGGCAGTTCCTGGCAGCTAGGGTCTAGCCACAGCCAGTCGCTGGGTCTTGGTGTACACGACTTTGGGCGATGGGACCAGGGCGGGCCGAAACAGTCGATAAAGATGGAATAATATGCATGGATGAGGAGTGTGGGTGAAGAGGGAACATGGAATGGATGGGTGAAGAGCGCGTTGTTTGGAATAAGAAGAGAGGAGGACAAGACGGGGGAGACCAGGTGTTTATGGCCAGTTTGTCAACAACAACATGTAGGAAGAAGAGTTAATGTCACAGCAACAGTAAAAAGATCAAGAACCTCCTTTTAGGAAGTAGACAACTACGATTTGAGGGTTGGTTATGGAAGCCACACACACCATATCAAATCCTCCAGCAGGAACGGCCAACCGTAGAAAGGGGCTATGCTCAAGGATCAGGAAAGGCCGCTGGTCGGGGAGGTTGGAGATGGCAACAACAACAGCTTCCCATTCGCGACCAGTAGGGAAGAACTGTGGCAGGGAAACTTGGGCTTGCGTGTCTCGATCACGACCGGGAGAGTACAGTGTCGATGCTATGCCTAGGGGGGTGTTCTTCGGTTACGATACAATACTCAGAAGGTAGGTTATACATCTCGTCATCAAAAATAACAGAAGATGTGTTTGTGCTGTTAGGAGGGATGGCAAGTCTCGCCCATGACAGTTGGGGTGATAGAGCGACAGTGCACAGCTAGTTGGGACCCAAGTCGGTATGTGCACGCAAATTGTGAGTCTCGGACGGCAATTGTTGAGCTTTACACATGCCTGTAAGGCGTGACCCAAGACAAGGTTCTAGGACAGAAGCTCCAGCTGCTGTGAAAAGCAGCGCAGGTTCCTACTCTAGTCTCCGGCTCGAACTCCAACCCTGGCACGCGCTTCCACCCGGGCATGCTTTCACACTTGCTCATCATGGGGACCCTCACTCTGAATCGAATGAGACGGGATGGTGGAAACGCCGGGGCTGCTTGCCCCAGAACATACCTACCTGAGTACCTACTTATCTACCTACATAGCTAGAGCTACCTCGGTGGGTACTCAGGATAGACCCAGGGCAGGTCCTCAATCGGTCTTCCGACGGAATGGTCCAATGCATGGGAGGAGCTGAGGCAGGATGTGTCAGTCAAGGCAGGCACGAGAGGCCTCAGAGAAGGTACGCAGATGAAAGAGATGACGCAAAAATCCAGTGGATCAGGTAAGCCCGAGGCAATGTACCTGCCTTGAATTTTCGGATAGAGCCAGAGACCTTGAACCTCATTCCCAACTCCCATAGCTAGGGTCAATTCTCTTAGATGCCTGTCTTCGTCATTGTACCGAGAGGCTCGGTCGTAAGAGTAGAGCAGGTGGGCTTGGTAAACTCGGACAAGACTCAATACTATTAGCGAATCAGGGATTTTGACGAATTGACGGAGTAAAATAGACCACGCTGGACACATTGGGCACTGTTCAGACAAATATTTTACAGCTGTGATAAGACTGATGGCGGCTATTGAACTGACTCGTCACTTCCAACTCAAAATACGTATCCAGTCTGCCCAGACAGGCGACAAGTCCGATAGAATACAACCATTTCATCACACTACCCGGAATAGCAAATGAGGCAAGCGACCCAACAATGTGCCTACTTTTGGATCAGATTCAGTAACTGAGCTCGACTGACTAAAGTTTTACAAAACATATCTAAAATGTGGGTTCTGATCGTGTGTTAGTAGTTGGTTCGCCATAAAGCTCCTCGATGACATACCTCGAAATCTGTACGGTCTTTTAACGTGTCAACAATCTCCTCGCTCAAACCGATCTCGGTCGCTTGTCTGTCTCTTTCTTTGTTCCGCCGTGTTAACAGCAGACGCAGCGCGTATGCTAGGATGATTTGGCCAATGCAACATGCGATGATGACCTTGCATCCCGTAGGATAGAGTGGCGCCTCTTCTCCCCTGAATGCGTGCGGCCCGAGGATGTTGCCAATGCAGTACGACATGAAGACTATCACGCTGCCTGTGGTGCGCTTTGTATATCCTCCTAGATTTGTTGCAGGCATCTGCATACCAAGAAATAGCGTGACGATGTACCCGGTGACGATGTAGTAGGCGAACAGAAGCCCAATCTCATGTTTTGTCCTATCCAGTTTCCACAGCAGGGAGATGCCTATTATCGTAGGGATGTTGTACAAAGCCATGACGTGGGTTCGAAAGTTGGGAAGCTTAGATGCTAGCCAAGTTCCTGAAAGTATCCACGAGATACCGAATACGCCAGCTGGGATGCCGAGAGCGACTGTTCGGAAAGGATCCTTGGTCACATCTTTGAGGATGAGCTTTCCGAAATTGGACAGGCCGCCGTTGACAACCTCATTGAGGAACATCAGAACGGCGAGCAGCCAGACTTGGGGATCTTTGAAAGCTTCTTTGACTTGATATAGCCTCACTGTCTTGTTAAGGATTCCAGTTCGTGCGAGTCGTCCGCGAGCGATTAGGAGGGCTTTCTCTTCCAGTGTAAAGCGCTTGGCCGATATGACATCATCGGGTAGGAAGATAAGTAGAAGAAGGCCCCAGACTATCGTCATCCCGCCATTGACCAAGAATACTGCTTTCCAGACGGGGATTATCGTTATCCTTCCAATAGCTAGGTTCAGCACTCCTGCCAGCATCATGCCAACGCTACTACAGCTTAGCATTATCCCATTTCGAAATGGTTGCTCATCTCTAGTATACCTGGAATAAGTTAGCGATAAGAAGTTCTGATAGGATTAGTACCGAGAGGAGCTCACCACATCGCCACCATCATCATGAAGCATGTTGTTGTTGGGGCCTCAAAGACACCAAGGAAGAATCGACAGGCAGCCATTCCAACAAAGCTATCACAAGCTACGGTAAGCATCATGACCGCGCCCCAGCCCAAGACACAGCCGGCGATAACCTTTGCCATTCGTGTCTTTTGTGCGAGCCACACCAAGGGATACTCGGCCGCCATGTAGGCGAAGTAGAAGATGCTGCCAAACCACGCATATTGTACCTGAGTGATTCCAGTGCTGGGAAAGAGGTCAAACACGGCGGCATACGACAATGCCATCTTGTCGACGAAATGCAACATGTAAGTTCCAGCGACTAAAGGTATCAGGATCCAGTCAACTTTTCGTAGTACTCGCTTGGTCAACTGTTCATCTTCAAGCAACAGTCGTAAATAATCATCGTCCAGGTTTTCGCGGCGCAGAAACACCTCGGCCGCGTCCAAGGAATCATCTTCAGTAAGGACATGGATGACGTCCTTTTCCCCAGAGGCTGCAGCCATGACGACGAAAGTTGCATGCATTGCATTGCGGAACCACGAGAGAGCGAGAGGAAGTTCACCGCCATTTTACGCTTTGGGAGTTGGGGCTTATAACTTTCTCCAGGACACAGACCTCGCGTGGGTACATTTTGACTTCTGTGATCCTTGGGTAGGCAGAAGTCAAACAGAATTACTGCTCATCATACCTTGCCGCACTTACGGTATTGATCTGATGGTATTGATCAATCACCTTCGCATTCATCTTATCTATCCATGCGCTGATTCAATGTCGTTCGCAACCATGTTTAAAGAGTGCCGATTTGAGGCTTTGAGCTCATGTGATGATCCCGCAATGGGTTTTTTCTCGCTTTGCCGTGGACTTACGGAAGACTCTTTCGGCGTGATTGAGATCGGCCACTCCGGATTCATACAACTACCATGGGAAATGCTACTAGCACTAAGGTCAACGAGCCCAAACCGAGATCGTGACCTTTGTTTATGTGCGAACCTCGTCGCGGTTTGCGTACTGCTGCATTGTGGCTGCTGAGACAAAATCTGCCCAGGCTGTCCGGCCATGACTCGCAGCCGGCCCGCTTGGCGGCGCCGCATGACGCGCGGGGCTGTTTTCCGATGCCGGTCTTCCGTGGAGGAGGGCCGGCCGTACGCGAGCCTCAAAACCTT